GGTGTTGCTCCTCCCAACCCTGATAACAGTTCCTTTTGGCAGTTTGTGTGCATAGCCCAATGTCGCGGCTTACAACAATTTGCCAAGACAATGTCCGGGCAGAATATGGAGACAATAGTCGGAAATAAATGAGTCCACATACGGAGTGGAATCGCACCCCAATTCGATAAGTGTTCGTCTGTGTTGTGTGGAAGCTTAAGGGATGAGGCTCCGCTCATAGACGTTTCATATGTGCACAGTACCCAGCGAACGACGTAAACAGGCAGATCCGAAATGTCGAACTCTGAATGGCCAATGGGCTTGAGATGTTTTGCAATAGCGGGACAAGTAGATCCGAGGTTGTTGAATATCACGGGACTGAATAATACCGGACACTTGCTGTGTGACAGCACATAACTGTGAATCGCCTCTACAGGCATAACTGAAGTATATATGAAAGAATTCCCTTCTGGTTACAAGCTCCACGACAATGAAGAAACAATGTTGAGATAGATTGCCTACCCCAGCGTGTCTTCGTCGAAAAATCCTTCAATCGCCGCTGTATCCCTCGTATGAATAGCCGAAGGAAGGTCTTGGTCGATTATCTCGTCGATTGGTAAGCTGATGTTGCAATTATAGCATCCCAGAGCGGAGAACCACCGACTGGAGCTAAAAATGCCCTTCTCTGAGCCTTTGCTAAGGCGTCGTCGAGGATGGGCTAACTACACAAACATGGGAACTGTTGCAAGGCGATGGATAAACGTCGCGGAACGATCGCAGATCGCCCAAATAGATGGGTTCGACCCATGGTGCTTCGCACGAGATTTCCGAAGAAGATGTATCATGGTAAACACAATTTACCCAGTGAAAGTAGGCTACCGGTGTACTTACGGGTAACCAAAACTATTTGCATACATAGGAGTGAACCAATTTACCCATCTCCTTTAAGGGATAGCTATGTGCTACTGCCAGCGAGAGGCTGTGAATATGGTGTGGTGTAGTAAGAAGCCTCGAAGTATTTTTAGTTGCTGACATGGTTTCATGGGAGGAGGCTCTGGTTCTTTCTTGGGGCCGAGAGCTTATTTGTTCTAGAGATGCAGGCGACAATTTGCACTTCCGGTTGAACGGAAGGACAAATATGTAAATGACTCGTCCAGTTGGAGCACTGTTGTGGTAAATGAAGAACGAGAAAGTACAGATATCTCCAAGATAATAGTGTCCCTTGTCCGATTTACAACAATATTGAGAACGGTTAACTTTGACTGACCAGTGAGAAGGTCTTCGTGAAACGTTCTAAGGCGATCTACCAAGGTCCCCGGGCCCGAGCAAAGATGATGACATCGTAAGCACAAGCCACGTAGTGTATAGTATCAGCGAGTCAAGACCACAGAGGACGTAGGTTTATGAAGGGCTTCGTCCAAGTTCATGGTGGACAGCACTGGGGAGAGCAGGTCTGTTGCCGAACATCGCTCCGCAAATAAATGCTGATGCCATTGAACGACGAAACATCGAAGGCATAAAAAGTGGAAGGATGGCTCAATGTAAACGTCGGAGCATCAAAAGAAGAGGTACATCATGGCAAAGAATCGTGGGAAACATGATCAAAAGCTTTGGAGATAACAGTCGAAGCGAAAAGCAGAGGTCATGCGCTCATCCCTACTAATGCAGCTGTTAAAATAAATGAACTGATCAACTAGTTCTAGTCCTTCATCTTCAAGGGTCAATAATCATCAAGTGATTGCTTATCCTCCAGCAACACTGCACCTGGAAGGTGAAAAACGTATGCCATATTGTGTGGTCAATGAACATTAACTAAAGTTGACTACGCTGCCCCGGAATTGGCAAACAGTAACATCACATGGTCCACATAACCAAGATCGACTACTTTTCCATCAAGCAACACATTCATGATAGAGCCAACGAAAGATGAGCAAAATGTGGAAGTGGGACAACCCTGGAGAACGTAAATTACCGTTGGGGGATTTAATCCGATAACACCGTTTATTTGTGATATTCAACTGCAGGACACGTAGACTGTTAAGATATTTCATGGGAACACTGCGTGCAGGCATGGGGGAAAGTGCGAATCGATCTATCACTTCGAACGCACTCTTGAAGTCAAGGAACACAGCTGTTGTCCGCCTATGCTAACATTGAAGGCATAAGCCCTGCACTGGATATACATCATACTGCTCTTCTTTTACCCGGACTTCCCATTCCGCATTTGGGCGACGGATAACAATTGAGGCTGATACTTTTATCACCATCGGCTTAAGGTGAATACTCACATGGTTAGCAAAGACGGTATAATTACTTGTCTGATACACTGTCATTACGAGCCGCTTACGCCAGTTAGCCATTGGAGTGAGACGCTTGGTACGCCTCCCAGTAAAGTACATGGAGAAACGATAGCGTAGCAAGGCATGATCAGAGTCGATGCAGGTACTCCAGAAAGAGCGGCAATCCGGGATGGAACCAGGCCACCTGTAGTTTATGGCAACCTGATCTATTTGAGTACAACGCTGGTCTACTATAGGGGAGCGCTAAGTGGCATTTCAGCATCCACTGTGCCTGAAAACGATGCTACTAAAAGGTCGCCGGTGCTCCGCGCTCAGTTACAACGGGCGTTCACTGTTATCCGTCCATTCGGTTACACCCGTACTTACCACCTAGCTGAGCTTCTGAAGAGTCCAAGAGACGTATTTTCTCAATCATATCCCCTACAAGAACCATTATATCTGAACTGGTAACACTGTGAAATGATGTGTTAAATTCTTGGTGAGTGGTGTCCTTCGCAGCATCAGAACTACAGTCGGTGGGGGCATAAGCGGAAATCACAAACAAACGGCGTATAGCGCTGTTTCCTGAATCAACCTTAGTTGATGTGGTCAAACGGGCTGTATGCAAATACCTGCTCACGGGAATCCAATCAACCAACGATGACTCGGCAATAGAGTTTTCGTGATTTCGTCGATGATGATATTAAAAAGAAAAGATGGGAGCGGACTTCCCTGTCTCACACAGCTGGAAATATTGAAGGACAGCGATAGCTTTTCATAACCCCTCACTCTATCCCAAATACGCGTATAATGCTATCTGATAATATTTGCGTATTTCTCAGGCACAGGCTCAAAGAGTCACAAGCTGTGCATCGATCCACCGAATCAAAGGCACTTTCGATGTCGAGGAACACGACTATGGCTGGTCGCCAACATAAGTGACTGCGATCCAATACTTGAGGTAGAGTGAATGTATGGTCAGTACTGCCTTGATTTGATGTCACTTCCTCGACAACAGCCAATATTTGGACTACAGAAGCAAGTAAGTTGGATGCGATGGAGATCAGACTGAACCCTCTATTGTTGAGAATATCCGTAGCTCGGGATGGGGATGTCGCATTCCAAAGATCTAATCTTGACTTTCGAGACTATAGTGGCGAAGCTTTAGTTGGTTGAAACAGTTTCTTGTTCCCACGGGTTAATATGAATTCGTGAAAATCGTCCACAATAGCTGGTCGACCGAGTTTGTAGAGAATTGGAGTGAGTCCTTTTAGTCCTGCGTCCTTAGACAGTTTCAAGTCTGATTTCACGTTCGACCTCTTCGCGAGAGATTGGTTCCAAAGGTACGGCCCAAAGAGAAAAGCTATCACTGGCCGGCAGCGAATCTAGTAATTCCGGCAGATTAAATTGTTTTCTAGTGTTCAACCCAACGTTTCAAACCTTTTAACAGGTTGTGGATAAGCTATCCACACTCGTTGCAACTGCATGGCTGGTTGCAAACGCTTGACATAGTCCACGCCGCGAGAATTGCGTTAGGATAGCACATTGGTCGTACGTCACGACCTCCGAGGAACGATTCTGAATTCAGGGCCATACTAACAGATTGGATGGAGCACGAAGTCGATCTGGAACACGTCGCGTACCATCTAAAAGGCTAGTTGTTACTAGTTGCAAGAACAGGGCTAAGTAAAGTAGGATTGACAAGGGAGTTTCTTAGACTGATCTTTCTAGTATACGTCAACGGACAACGGAGCGAGTATCAACACCATCAGCTGCACCAAGACTGCGTGTGATTGTCCCGTATCATGAATCATTTGAGAGCTTTCCAAATTGGATATGCTACTTTGGATGACATAGCCTGTAACAGCGAGCACCCATTGATTCATCTCTTTCTGTTATCGCGATTATTGTCCTAATTCTCTTTAACATGTTACCCTGACTATCCACCGACGAAGCAGTGTTAGAAACAAAACATTTCTCTCTAATGCGCCAACTGACTACTTCCAAACTTTGCTGAAACCACGAGGTTATGGCCGGCCCCAAACATATTTCGAGATTTTTTAGATCAATACTGATCGAAAGCTTACGCAACCACTCGGTTAGCTCAGTCTCCTGGTTCAGGTTACCAACAGAAGCCTGTAGTCGGTCGGGGCAGTTTTCATTCTGTGAACTTCGATACTCCTTTGCTCTCCGTGTTCTCAACATCCTGTGCACAATACTGCACCTCGCTTTTGCCTGTTCTCGATTGTGAATGAGTTAAAATATGTTGTCTGTAGATAGACTCTTCTTTTACTTTCCTTTTTCGCTTTGTATCCTGCTTTGAATCACTATGGATAAGATGTATTGTGCTATTGCTGTTGCCACATTACTTATCTGTAGGCAACATGAACGAATAATCTCCCGCCTGTTACTAAAACCTAGGCTTCGGTTCACAGGAAGGTGAATTCAGCTTCTCGGCTGCAACACTCTGGACTAGTAGATTGGACACGTAACGCGAATTTTTGAGATCCCCGCTTGAGCTGCATCCTAACTTCCTCATGGTCTAGGTCACATTCGTCCTAGAGAGTGAAGCACTTCACACGGTCACAAGTTTTCGTTTAGCATTGGACTACTGGCCCCATTTAAAGTAGTTCAACCATATTCGGCTGCTTGTGTCTATCTACGTCTTTCACCTTTCTTTCAAAATAATGCGATGCCTACTAGTAGATGTCCTCTTATCCTCATACTTTTCACGTCTATAAGCCCGAACGCAGACCGAGGATTGACAGAAACTGTACAAATGTTGGGTCTGGCAGCCGAGAGGTTACAAATAGCCTCAAGCAATAACGGGGATCCTGAGACTTTGGCGTTACGTTTGCCTCCTGTAGAGCCGAAGCCAGTGAATCTCCGTGTCGCATCCTTGACGCCCTCGTCTAACGAGCATTTTCGGTCGCAAGCTAGCCCATCTTTTTCCGCACAAAATCGGTGGAACGTCAACCAACAGTCAGGACCATACGGCTTTCTTGAACCTAGCGTTGAGCAAGACGAAGTACGTTGCTTTAACCGATTCTTTACATCACTTCGTACCTTCTGGTTGCAGCGATTCTGTGTCCAGTCGTATGCAGTAGACTTCATTTTGTCATATTGACTAAACATCCTCACAAGATAATCGCACGACGAAATTTTCCCGTTGAAAATGTCACAAGGCTCTGGTCGATGCTTTCCTTAACTTATGTTTCAGTCTTCGCCAATGAGGACTTGCGGAATCAATGTGACCGTCTTACGGAATACATCAAATTTTGCTTTGACATGTGTTGTTCTGTTTAACTCATTTATCAAAGGGCGGACAGATTTTCATCATTATTGCTGAAGCGACTTCGACGGTTGAGAGAGCATATAAATCTATTATGCCTACTCGTGTCAAGAGCCTAACCTCAGCACTTAAACCTGGGTTCTAGGTAACTACAACTGTCGTCATCTATGAAGACATTTGAGGTAGCCCTGTGTTAAGAGCACCAGCAGCCAGAGCATCTTCATCAACAACAACAGCAGTCGTTTGAAATGATGCTTCGCTACCGTACAACCGCAGTGACCTAGGGAAGGAAAAACAATAAGTACGAGAGAGAAAAACCCAGCGTAAAACCTTAATACCTAAAGAAACCCTCATGCTCCACGCGCATACACACGTCGCAAAGAGACTGGATATTAACGTGGTACGCTGGTTTACGTACCTCTTCGACCTACTGAGCTACAATAGGTGGTGCTCCTGGGCCCCTTGAGAGCTACTCCTACCAAATTGGTCAATGGTTAGAAGTCAGACGAACTCAGTCTCCTGGTCGGGGGTTAGAAATGAGATGGCGTCCATTACTGTAATGCCGAATCGTTGCCACATCCGCTGCCTTGCGGACAGGTTTTTGAGCTGAAGGCTTTACTTGAGGATCATAATCGTTCTCTTGGCGCCCTAGTAGTATCTCAGCCCAAGTACAACCATGACCATTTCTTCAAGTTTCAACCAAATCCTGTATTTTCCGTAACGCAACTTATCAAGGATCGCCTTATCTGCTGCATACAGCAGGGCGGATAAGCGAAAATACACCGCTGCTGGCACCACCATTCTTTTCCACCGGTTTCTTTTACTACTAACCTTCCTTCTATAATTCCCAGCTTAATTGATAACAGCCGCAATGCCACCGGAGTCATACCATCTGCAACCATCTTTCCGTACCACCCACTGGATGCTCATCGGCAACAGCCCCTTATAAGTCCACGCTGTCCCGTTTCCCTTGCGGCGTTCAACGTCCACACTCTAAGACAAATAGGTCAACCGGCTGCACTCGCACGCACGTTGGACATCCGGGGTATTGACGTGTGTTGCCTGTCCGGAACTAGGATCAATGACCCTCACGGAGTTGTTGGAGTAACTGCGCCCGGTTTGTTCTCTCGCTATTAGTTGCACGTATCCGGAGACGCTGATGCGGCAACCTCAGGTCAGGCTGGAGTGGGCATTGTTCTCAATTCTATTGCCGAGTCATCGTTGGTTGATTAGATTCCCGTAAGCAATTAAGGTTGATTCACGAAGTAGCGCTATACGCCGTTTGTTTGTGGTTTCCGCTTATGCCTCCACCCACTGCAGTTTTTGTTGTTGCAAAGGAAGCTTTCTATAACGAACTGAACACGCTACTACGCAGTGTTACCAGTACAGATATATTGGTTCTTGCAGGGGACGTGAATGTGCAAATAGTTCGTCTGACCTCTTCAGAAGCTTATCCTTAGAGGAATATGGACTTAACTCCGACCGTACGGACAACGGCGACCATCTGTTACATCTGTGTGCACAACGCCGGCTGTTTCTTAGTAACACCGCTTTTAGACAGTGAATGCCGAAGTGCCAGTTGCCGTGCACCTGTAGCTGATCGGCGATAGACCCAAATAGATCACACTGTCATAATTTATAAGTAGTGTGGTTCCACTCCGGATTGCTGCTCGTCCTGGGTTAGTTGCGTCGACTCTGATCATGCCTTGGTACGCTGTCGTTTTCTATGTACACACCAAGCGTCTCTCTCCAATAGCAACCAAGAAGTTATCTCAGCCTTCGATCATGCAGGCCTACCAGGATGCCCTGCGTACCGAACCTTCGCTCTCTTCTCCTAATAACACTGAGCTTCAGTGGAATAGGATCTCGACCGCCATGCACGACGCTTGGTCGTCTGCTTGCGGCAATATCAGTCGCCACTGCACTAGTTACTGGATATCCGAGAGGTCGGTGGACCTGTAGGAACTCAGAATGAAACACCCGGATAGCTTTGAGCATAATGTAACTATGCGGACTATTAGGCACCAAATAGAGCAGGGCTTGCGCGCTGGCAAGGAAGCCTGGTGGACCAGTAGGGCTTAAGAAATGGAGGAAGCAGGAAGATTAAGACGACTATCACGAGCTCCTTCAACTGATCCGCACCACTAGTCCAAAGGAACCGGGGGTCATAGTGACAATCAGAAACAGCGCGGGTGCCCTGATTCCCCTTATGGAACGCCGTATGGCTCGTTTGGTAGAGAGTTTTGAGATCGGTTCGGTTGGTCCCTTGCTTCCGAATCCCTTCCTACTCAGGCGATGCAGATTAAGCCATTGCCAATTAGTTTAGAGGCTCCTTCAGGAGCTGAGGAGCAAAATGCGATCATAGCCGCCAACCAATTTGAGCTGTTGATGCGGATTTCCTCGAATTCGCACTATTTAAGGATGGTGGTGAGTTCCACTGCAAAGCGCTGTCTCCCCCTTCCAACATGTCTGGAAGGCAAACGCCATCACAGCTAACTGGAGTGAATCAATTATAACGGCGATATACAAGAAGGGCAGCCACACCGACTGTGCTAACTAAAGACTATTAACCTAACCCCAGTTCTCGTTCGTTGCCTCACTGCGGAACGAAAATCTCTGATTACGGAAGCGCAGGCAGGCTTCCGCCAGGAAAGGGACTGTATAGACCATATATTCGTTCTGCGACAGGCGCTATTGAAGCGCTATACATACCGCAGACCGACGATAGTTGTGTCCCTCGACTTCAAATGTGTGTTCGACTCAGCCGATCGATGTATTCTGTTCGAAGTACTTTTGCGAAAGGTGTTTCAATGAAGTATGGGAACATTTTACGTGCTCTATACTCAAACACTGTAAGCCGCGTCAGGGTCTACGGTGACCTGTTGGATGTCTACCCGACAAAATGTGACGTTCGTAAGGGTTGTCCGATTTCCCCATATTTGAAAAGATTGTCCTGTTCTCCGAGCTGGGCATTTCTGTTGCAGACGTTTCGTTACCAAACTAGGTAACATCTTCAGTGCAGCTATTTGATGCTGATTCGCGGAGTCTCGCAAACCAATGCCAGATCTAAATGGCTATTGATTGTTGCCTGCTTCGAATGTCAGCTTTCGATCGGTTCACGTGTCCGTCATGTGGGCACCCCTTCTCCTTGTCGATCTGGTGCCTAACGCTGGCTTAACCTGCAGAGCTTCATAGACACCCTCCAGCTCCAGGTGTTTGTTGATTGAGTTCCGGCCAGAATGCCAGGCCTCGAGGAACTCACGCGCTCTGCAGGTTAAGCCAGCGTTAGGCACCAGATCGACAAGGAGAAGGGGTGCCCACATGACGGACACGTGAACCGATCGAAAGCTGACATTCGAAGCAGGCAACAATCAATAGCCATTCAGATCTGGCATTGGTTTGCGAGACTCCGCGAATCAGCATCAAATATCTGCACTGAAGATGTTACCTAGTTTGGTAACGAAACGTCTGCAACAGAAATGCCCAGCTCGGAGAACAGGACAATCTTTTCATCCACATCCCGAGCTACAGGTATTCTCAATAATTCCCCATATTTGTTCAACTTTGTCGTGGATTGCATCATGAAGTGTTCCCCTTGCGGGGAGCCTCACGATGCAGGCATTGAGATACAGCCTGGTGGAAAGCTAGTTGATCTTGAATACGCGGACGATATCATCTTGCTGTTTCACGATGTTGGGGCGGCCCAATGATCCATGCATAACCTCACTTGAGTGGTCTCATCATTTGACATGCGCTTTGCACCTTCAGGGTGCAAACTGTTGTGATGATGATGACCCCTTTGATCCTTGACAACGAGGAGCTCGATCAATTCGCTTACCATAGCAGCTGCATCAGCGACGACGGACGCATAAGCAGTGAAGTCGGTTCAAGTATTGCGAAGTCCAGAACTGCTTTGAATCTTTGGCGTCAGAAACGGCTTTCCTTCAGTTAGGAAGGCTGGGCGCAGTTAATCCAACAACTCCGGACACGCAGTACACGTCAATACCCAGGGTGTCTAACATACGTGCGAGTGCAGCCGGTTGACCTATTTGTCTTAGAGTGTGGACGTTGAACGCCGCAAGGGAAACGGGACAGCGTGGACTTATAAGGGGCTGTTGCCGATGAGCATCCAGTGGGTGGTACGGAAAGATGGTTGCAGATGGTATGACTCCGGTGGCATTGCGGCTGTTATCAATTAAGCTGGGAATTATAGAAGGAAGGTTAGTAGTAAAAGAAACCGGTGGAAAAGAATGGTGGTGCCAGCAGCGGTGTATTTTCGCTTATCCGCCCTGCTGTATGCAGCAGATAAGGCGATCCTTGATAAGTTGCGTTACGGAAAATACAGGATTTGGTTGAAACTTGAAGAAATGGTCATGGTTGTACTTGGGCTGAGATACTACTAGGGCGCCAAGAGAACGATTATGATCCTCAAGTAAAGCCTTCAGCTCAAAAACCTGTCCGCAAGGCAGCGGATGTGGCAACGATTCGGCATTACAGTAATGGACGCCATCTCATTTCTAACCCCCGACCAGGAGACTGAGTTCGTCTGACTTCTAACCATTGACCAATTTGGTAGGAGTAGCTCTCAAGGGGCCCAGGAGCACCACCTATTGTAGCTCAGTAGGTCGAAGAGGTACGTAAACCAGCGTACCACGTTAATATCCAGTCTCTTTGCGACGGAGCGGCCAGAGCGTGGATAAGTCTAATTAGGCGTTTAGCCACGCCTCTCCTATTTCAGCCCCTTTGTCCTCTTTCACCAGCTCAACTCTAGCTACGCCGTTCGGCCATAGGGGATTTTATAAGAAAATCAAAGGATTAAATCAAACAAAGCCTGTGGTCCGGATGTCTTGGGAGAGTGTGCTGATTCTCTCATACTACTTGTAATATATGACTAACAAATGCCTCATTATGAGTCGAATTCCTAATATTTGGAGATCGGCCACGGTAACCCCAGTACCCAAAAATATCTAAAATATCGCCCAGTTTATGTACATCTGTGCTTCTGAACATTTTCGAAGAACTGCTGATTTCACTGATTTACACTACCTCTCCTGCTGTGGAAAACTACCAGTTTGCATATAGATCCCAGCGATCAACATTGGATGCAGTGCCATATCTTACTCACTCTATAGTGTCGGCACTAAACCAAAAATGTAAATCCGTACGGCTTCTCTTCCTTGATGATTCCAATGCGTTTGGAAGCCAAAATAGGTCAATGTTGTTCAACCTGCTGTCCGATAATGGAATTCACTGGTATTTGTGCAATCTAATGCATGACTATTTTACGGATCCTACCCACTTCACCAAGTTAAACGGCAAGAAATCCTATGGCCTCAGTGCCGACTGTGACGTTCCTTATATGTCAGACGTCTCCATTTACAAGCTACGTTTACAAGATGCGAATATGTATGGACCCCACCATTCAGGATCCCTCATCGCTTCAACGTAGACTAAGTCTGGTGGAGTGGTCTTCATCCAGATCCCTTACTCATAACGCTTCCGTATGCAGTGATGTAGTATTTTCCTCTCTTCGTGACGACAAACTGAAGTCTTTGATAAACCTCTCCTCCACTTCGGCAGTGAACGAAAATCCCGTACCCGGATCATCCACCGTCAAGGATTTCGGCTTCTTTTTATCCCAAAACCTCTCTTGGTCCACGCGTGTCTGCGAAACATTTTCGCCAGGAAAATTTCTTTTTACACGCTCTGACTTAAGGTACTTTCAATACTCCGTACTTGAGTATTTAGGTTTGTGGCTTCATACATTATCCCCCACTGGTTATACTGCTCCTCTGTCATTTTTCCTGGGCCACTTTAGAGAGACTACATCTTGTTGGTACGATCGGTAAAACACATTTATAGATACAGCGGCTTGTACAAATTCGTTATTTGATCATTCCTAAAAATCTTGTTGTCTGCAGTAAGTTTTTTCCTAAGTTACCAATTGACCGTTTTCATCTACTGCACAATGACCTTACAAAAATGCTCTTTCTCTTCTGTGCGTTCGAAATTCAATTTTTTATTCCGCACTTTATCGTATCGTAATACTGTCATGTTTCATCTATTACACTTGGTTGTTGTCCAAACGGAAGTCATCAACATGCTACGCGAACGGTTCTTGGAGTGACAGTTGTGTATATCTTCCATTCTTCTCTCCACTTATGACTAGTATATTGGTACCATCATCCTGCATACCCGCAGTGTGAGTGTAAATGCTGAAAATGAACCCATTAGGGTACATCTAGCTTATTTTGACTTGATTTGAACACTTGTACACAGTTCAGTTCACTGAGCGCAACTAATTGAATCCCTAGTCGTAATATTTGCTGTTCATTGAAGGCTTTATTCTATTGTAAAAGTTAACTAAACCGGAATCTAAACGCTATGTGTTTCTGTGTTACTCGCTCCTAACACTGTACTCCATGACGGGTTTCGTCGGAAATTCGTGGGCAATACTTGGTCCAGTCGATATGAACTAGATGTAGGGTTTTGGAGTGCCCACTTTGCGCTTTTATCCCGTCTTAGTATCTCTCGTTAGCTCCCGATTTTGATATGGTCGGTATTTTCTCACTACCATAACGATTCTGTAAGATGAATTCGTGTCAATTGAAACTCAGCCCTCCTTGTCTACTCTATTCACATTTATACTGTACATAGTGCAACAGAAACTAACTTTTAAGCGCAATTGTCCCTTGTTAACGCACATCCTCCACTTTTGCAGCCACTTGGCAGTGGAGTGGGACCGGCGCCTGGCGAACGGGAAGATTTATATGAAAGTGAACTTCAGCGACCAATCTCTAATATTGAACAGCCGTCACATGCGTCACTTGGTTCTCTCGGAGGCCGAGCTTCAGATGCGTCGGGCGAGTTCGGTCGTTATCAACCGTATAAAACTCCGAATGCGAACCAATGGCCAATCAATGCACCAAACAATATAGCTAGTGCTACTGACGCAGAATATGGGGAACTAGCTGTTACACGCGAGCCGTCGCAGCCATTGATCGAGATGGCTGTGGATCAAACCACGTCCCCAATTCTTCGCGATATTCCGTCCCCAGCTACTACAACTTACAAAACAGTATCAGAGCCGACCAATACCACAACAACTACTGTGGAAGTAACGGAGCAAATTACTACCAGCTTCTCAACCTCTACGGCCACAGCCCCCACCTCTGACCCACCGTCTGTGCAAACATCCGAGACCAAATCACCTCAGCTCGGCCCTTTAGGAAAAGTCACTAACGCACCTTATGCGCCGTCTACCATTTCGGTCCACGAGCCCAATTGGCAACTCAACTTACCCGAAGCGCAACAACCTGTTTATGGTGGTCTACCGGATGACGAGGATAGCAATAGAAGACCAGGACTAGATAATGCTGTGTTCCCCTTACAATCAACCACACCATCCCCACCATGGAGTGAACAACAGTCGTCTTGGTCGGGGGGAGTTCAGCCAAACCCCTATCAGGGAAACTGGTGGGAAGTAAGTTTGCGTGGTTTAGTATGGTAACAAGAAATAGTCAGCCCAAGATGTTGAAAATAATGAGTTCATGAGGTTCGGACAGTAATAAATTGAATCTTTGGAAAACACTGGACGGTTTTCTCTTCGATAAGACAAAATGACAAACTGGCCTGGTACACATCACCATTTCTAGAAACACTAGCATTTGCCGCACCAACTAACAGCCTACTGAGCCGGGATTCTACTTCTCGTAGCCACCAGTCCGTTGCATATTATTCTCCTCATACCACGGAGCGTTGTTTTCCCTCAGGAGCTCTTCTGTCCTGTCCACTTTCTTGTCGTTCGTAACCGTGACAATAAATGGTCGTAGCTGAGCAATGCACTTCTGAAATTAGTCATGACCCAGGCTCCAACGCTTGCCAGCTCTTAATAATAACCCGTTGGTTCTAACGCTCGGCACTCATTTGGATGACTTTCGTCCGAAAAGTGTCTGCTGCGGGTCTGATTTGACTGGCAAATCAGTTGATTTCAGACACTTTTAACAAGTTGCCTGATCGCGTGACTTATGCGTGAAAAAAGTGAGTCCACCTGCTCATTAAAACGGTCGATCTGTCTTTCGTTACATTATATATGAGCAAAGTCCGGCGCCAGTGACGATAGAATACGATGGACGCGATATCACCCGGAACTGTGGGTCGACATGGATGAGGTAATTCGCAAACTTCAGGTTGCCAAATGCCAACCTGACAATCTCTGCTTGGTTTTCGAAGTTAAGCTCCAATTTAGTGTAGCCGGTCATCATAGCCAGAATCCTTACGTTATCGGTAACAGCTTAGTAGCTTCGACAGCGGCGGGCGCATAACACATTGTGTGCTTGCATCGCCTTCCAACTCGTGAACCCATGCCCTACATAGACTATGCCTATCGTTTGTATACACTTAAATAACTAAAGTGACGAAGTGGCTCGGTTGCTAGTTCTTCCGGATCCTCGCTTGTGACAGGACTGCTCTCGCAGGAGCTACCACCCGGCCTTAGATCTTATGCTACGGGTGCAACAGGTAGACGTCGCACTGATGTCTAAGCACCTCTCAACCTTCAGTGCCGTCAGGTCTCTCACATTTTTTAACCGCGTATCCAAAAACCGATTAGTAACATCCCCTATAACAATTCACACAACTAACACTCAACCTGGCTTTTATTTGCCTAACGATTCTGTAGGACCCCTATGTTGGAGGTAGCGGCTTCCCGATGCCCGGTCAGGTGCCTTTTAACAAGCCGAGTCACGGACCTCCACCAGAGAAGCTGAATCAACCTGACTCCGGAGCACCTCCGCCTTATTTCCCCCCGGGGAGCGGGCAGCTGCCGTTCCAACCGACGCCAGAACGATCGTCTGACAACTTTCCTTCGCAACCAGACAGGACCTTCGAGAATCAACCCCCAAGATGGCCCAATCCCGCGTTTCAAGGTGGCGTTACACCGGATACCGAGTGGGCAGATAGCAAGCCTGTTGGAACTATGGGTGCGTTCCTCATGTGAATTACAACCACCGTACTGCACTTACACCGTAGTTGGCCTTTGTTGATGACATACCATGTGTCTTGTCGTGGTTACATACCCTATTCATTGATCCATTGTCACATCTTACATATTGTACGATCAAATGAACGTGGTAACCGTACTTTACGGCTTGATCCTTCGTGAAAACTCTTTCGTAAAAACGAGAAATATGAATCTTAAATTTAATGTGCTCTCGATCTACATTCCAGAGCGCGTATCCGACTGGCAGGAGAGTCTTCAGGGCAGTGGTATTCCTGACCCATCGAGATTCGTACCCACACATGTCCAACCAAGTCCCGCTACGGACACTTCCCCCCAACCCCCGATCAACATACCTGCGATCAGAACACAGTCGCCGATATTATACCCGCCACTGCCACCACCAGAGGTTTGGGTTCCCGCTCAGATAGGACCCGGCCAATCTGTACCATCCGTCCTGCTCGTTAGAGAGTATAATTTGCAAGGCCCCTTGTATGGCTCAGAAACTGTACCCTCTCAAACGGGCCGCTGCTCTCTCCCCTACAATGTCTGCGGATTCACAACGCTGATACTCCTTGCTGTGTTACACTGCTTACTCTACGCATTATTCTAATCGACTTCGCATACTACATGTACATACTCTTACCTGCCCGCTTTATTCATCGAAGCTAATGTACATGGAACATTACGCATTGTTGTACCTCATGGAAAATGCTTTTTCTTCATATCCTTGCTAGTCCCTTTAGCCCTCATCAAAAGCACCCGACGCCATACTGTCACTCCCTTCTGAATACATTTCGCCACTATATCCCCCCCTTGTTGATCAAAAAGCTCAGTGGGTGTTTAGCAGCCGCATGTATCAAGTGAGCGCATGAATTAAAGCGAACTCCGAGGCTTCATCTAAGGGTCTCCAATATGGAATGCTGTCACTACATCTAAACGACAGCCGGCCGTCAGAAAACCAAGATCGCATTGGATCAGGATGATGAAACATAAGGGCTACCGTTGCACGGAGACCTTCGAAAAATGTCGCTGGCTCTTGGTCCGGAGTTGTTGATAACAGCCTCATCTCATCCATGCTGAGCTTCAATGGGTCATTACATATCCACTGAGAGTAGCGAAATGGTTCTATGATCAGCTTATGGCTGTTTGCATCGAAGATATTGCTGAGCATTCGCGCTGCGTTGGAACTATGTAAGCGTGACAGCCTCAATACGGGGACGGGACCGCGGGCTTCCCAGCAAACAATAGCGGGGGATATTGAGTTCGACTGCCAGTCAAAGACAACTCCAGTAACCGCAGGCATTGGGATGACTCGGTCGGTATTGGGCCCGTGTCTACATACCCCCAAAATGGTGTTCAACTCTCCCACGCAAAACGTTTTCACAGAGTATTCCTTGGCATCATTGCACAGAAACTCTCCCATCACTTCTACTATAGTGGAGTGGGCCAGTTCCTTATTGTCGTAAAAACCCCCCACTAAATGGGCGTCTAGGTGGGCGTCATCTGGCGACAAGACTTGCGTAGTCCTCGTTAGAAAGGCTTTGGCTCTGTGGGAGTTGTCCAGATGAGCTATAAGGCATAGACCTTGAGATCGTAAAATGACGATTACACATGATGTTGCATCGTCTGAGGCGACCAGACGAGGGATGCAGGCGTCATCCGAGCCAATCACACAGGGGATGGTAGCCATCTCACCTTGATGAACGTAAAGCAAATCGCGGCCAGACGTAACCCTAGAGATGTGGCTTCTGAAGGCACGTGCGCTTGATACTACGGATGGCATTGAACAGAATGAATCGACGCAAGCATTGACAGTATTGTAATTGCATCTGTATTTCCGGCCCTCAAAGATGAGAACCATAAGGCTGAAAAAGAAAGGGCGCAACGTTGAGCTGCTTTATATTGTCTAAAAATAGTATGAGTCAGAGACTGGACGAGTGATATATTTGTCCAATAGGGATATTTACAGCACCACTTTGTACAGATATTATAGGGATCCATCTATCTACAGCTGTCGTATGTCCAAAATAGCCGGATTCTCTGCCCTGGTGGTTTAGGAGCTGTACACCCGATCGACACTACCAGTGCCCAACGGGTGGAAGGCCTATTTACAAAAATATCACGAATGTGGGTCCACGGGTCGTTAGCCCCACCCGTTAACCCGTATCTCCATGAGCTTCGCCACATGTGAATGTCGGCACTGCTCTGGCCCGACCGGGGGAATAGAGGTGCCATTGCGTAACACGCAGGTCCGCCAATCCTTCAGCAAAAAGTAAAGAGTTGAGCGCTTAAATCGTAAAGCCTCTGACATTACAACCGAGATAGCCGCGTAACGCTCCCCGATGGTCCCAGTGAGATCGTTTAGTAGGTGGAATATGCTCCCCCCATCTGCAAAGAGAAAGTATTAGATTTTGAGTACTGCGTCCTACCGGCGCACGACTGTTTGATCATCGCAACTAAGTTTCGCACGACCTCTCTGTTCATCGCGAACGCTTGTTCATCGTTCAACGTTTGTTTGCTCCCATCGACAGTAGTTTTTTCGCCAGAGGGCAAGTCGTCCGGTGCACCATTCTTGTCTTCAAAAGGTATGGTGGAATGATGATGATCTTACCTAAGCCATCACACAGTAGATTCGGGGAACTATGTCTGTGTTTCGGTGAAAACTGACGCCAGTTCATATGGTTTATATAGTGTGGGAGCGGACCTACATTGAACCAAAATAGAGACAACGATATGTCTTACCTTTGTTGCGGTGCGGAGAGCTGGGGTCAACCGGATTATACTTTTTCCGACTGGTGCAGACAATGGAAACATTGGCACCTCCGGGCACCGCGGACGACCCCATTTCATCCACAAACAGCTCATCTACGACAAAGCCCGCTGACTTTTTACGGAACGGATTTCCGAAGGTGTCTAGGCGTTCGGGAGCAGGGTTGAGCTCGCGAAGAGGCTGCTCTATTTGACGCAAGGCCTTATAGTTCATGTAATCACCCATAAGCGCGACCGGTTGCTGGTGAACTGATCCAAGGTGCCATTCGTTTTGTCTTCCGCTCAGCACACCATCTAGAGTGAGTTTCATCTTCCTTAAAGCGCTTCGCAGCTTGTGTCTGTTTATTTCCTGTGCTCGGACGTAGGGTTGGGTGGATGATCTGCAAAGTTGTCTTCCAGTGCCTGATCGGATCTCACGTAAAGGCCACATTGGAAACGGAAGTAGAGTCGCAGGCAACTTAATACATACAATTCGGAAGTACACGCACTTACCAACACTGAGCGTGATGAAGACTCTTCGCTTTGAGTAAGCCGTACAAAATTGTCGTACTCAATTTTGGCGATATGTCTCAATTTTTGTAGGGAGTGTTTTAGTTGATACGGCAGTACTCGATCAATGGCTTCTGGTTTAATTACACTTTGGAACCCAAAGCGTTCGAATGCTTTAGTGAGAGGCTTGAACATAAAACTTGACAAACGAAGTTGAACTTACCATGAAGTAGTATCTCGGGATGTTGCTTAAATAGCTCACAAAACGGTGTCCCCACGCCTCACTCATGCGCATATGGTGTACCTCATAAAGTTCATCTACATTTTTCAAAAAATCGTATGGTATACTTACTTAGAAGCTGGCAAAAAACTGGGTAGTTGTAGGGCAGTACGTGTAAATGTGTGGACTGGAGGTCGGGTGAAACTTTAATATAGCCAAAGGGAGCGGGCGGGATATTTCTGCAGTCAGCACCAAAACATGGCCAAATTTTACTAGGGTCACAAGATCCCAGTTGCTTTGTTAGAGATGATGGCTCAAGTTCGTAACGGTCGATGGGAAAATATTCTGGCATAGTTGGCGCCCCAGTTTGTGTTGACGAAATAAAAATTTTTGGATGAGCCGGTCTAGGGGGCTAAAGGCGGTTAGAAGTGGGACTAACGTACCAGGTGCGTGGACAGCATTTCGTCATCTGGCCAAAAGGACTCAGGTATTGGCCAGCTAGAACAAACACGCCCCATCAGTTTAACGAAAACAAGCTGTTTGTGAGTATTGGAAGGATCTTCTGTCTTCCGGTCAGCACTGCTGTAGTCGGTGATGAAATCGACTACAACTGCCGGTTGACACTTTGGAACGAGTGATTCCAAACATTGCTGTAACTCTCTATTATCCGATATGATATAACCTCTGCCACCAGTGAGTTCAGCGGTAGCCAGCAAGGGTGAGCCTTTAGGAACAAATCTGAGGCCAAAGCCGATGTTATCCGAAAATGCAGGATATTGCAGAACGATAGAATATAATCTATAATCCCACCGGAAATGAGCGTCAGTTAAAATCTGCCCAAAGACGGAGGACTCAATAGACGATGAAGAGACATCCTTTGGTAAATATGGATAAGTAAAAACAATTTACCTTCGGGACTGACTCGTGGAACCTTGCATCACCACATCCGTCGGTGATGCACAGTATAACAGCAGGTTCGATGTATGAAGGAAACATGCCCTGACAGCTATTTTTAGATCATAAATATACAAACCATTCCGTAATTTTCCAGCCCTAGCTGTAATCGGTTTAAATTCAACATTCGGAAGGTGCGTTGAAGTCCATCAAACAGTGAGGTGCATCCATTGGCTCCAATTTTATTGAGAGCTCCGTGAAGGCACTGTAAATCTACGTTCTGCCTCCATCCTGCCAACTGAAGACAGTAAAAATACATTCACTTTACCTTTACATAATTTAAATCGGAATCCAAAGTCAGGATGAAGTAACGGTCGACCCTGGATTTACCCAAACGAATCTTAAATATCGCTAACATGAGGATAAAACCAAACCTTGAAAAACAGTTCAGTAGCAGACTTGGCAATGTCCAGTAGCGTAGTACCTTGAACTGTGCGCTGACACATAGACGCGCTGTTGTCTAGCAGAAAAACAATTATTGTCATCGCAACCGCTTCAAGGCCGTATCAGAGTCGACCAATAAGACAACATGGGTGAACGACCAGAGAGACAACCGTCAAACCAGTGACTGTCGCGCCAGGCTCTGCACTATTTATTGCTCTGTTGCCTCCACGCTGCCATTTGATTGGCTGAAGACGTTCCGGAGGCTCATCTGGAATCCCTTAACTTTTGTTTAAAGTTCAGTGTCTAGTAATGTAATTTGCTGATGTAAAGTCTTTTTTGACTTTATTAGACTATTATTTGCCCTCTGAAATCGTTGGTTTACTTCTGGAACAGCGGTTTCTTTCCAAAATGTTTTCCGTGCTCCAGATGAACCTCCCCATTGACCAAATGAAGCGCTGTTCCGGGCACGGCTGTAAATTCGGCTGTCTGTCTGACGCTCTACATCGGAAGTCAAAGGCTTTGATTACCACTATGTGGGGCGGCACCTTAGCATTGTTTGCTTGGCTGGATTCGTACTTGGCTTCCGATTATCTTATAGAATTCTGTCCGCTTTAGCTCTGTGTTTTGTATAACTTTACTGATACTAGTCGGAATCCGCGCACTGATTACCAACCGCGCTCTGCCCTTTTCTTTATGACACGGCAGTCTTGCCAGTACTACTGCCCTGACCAGTATGTCCATGCTCCCTTCAGAAGCTGGTCGACGGTTTTTGCGTGTCACTGGCGAGACGTTTTAGTTCTGTAGGGCCAGAGAAAACTAGTCCTGACCGCAGTGCGTAATCGAGTACCACTATCAGAAGACAAATGAAATCGGACAGCTTAGCTGGGCCGTGTCTCGCCTAGCTGAGAACATGCCAATTTGATTTAATGGAGCGAACGTCAGTGCAGTTGTTCGACGAGCAGACGTGTGATGAGCGGGATGTAGGCAAATATGGCCGTGGGGTAAGGGTCAGTAAGACAAGAGAGATCAGTGTACCATCGATCAGCTATAGAACAGTGTTTAAACGACAAGAATTCTCTTTTGGGGTGGTACAGTCGCACTGGTTGCGAGGCCTCAACCAGATATTCCCCCAAGGATGTAATGTGCGTTGAGGACAATCGTTTAATCGAAGCCTCGTTCAGAATTATGATAGAAGCCACAAATGGAAAGAGACTAGTGGATGTATGTTGACTAGATATTATCACGTCATCCCGATTCACGCTTCTTGCGGTTCACCGAGGCGATAAGCTAGCTAAGACCTACGCTGTGTACAGAAACAATCAGTTGTTGATCTTCGGTAGCCCTGCTGCTGTCACCATCCCCCCGTTCACGTCACTGCGTTTGATTGTTTGGTAACACCCTTTGAACGCTATAAGTTCTTGCTATTTTATTGGTACTGATGAGACAGTACGAAATGCGCGCGTCTACCAGTGTTCTCACTGTGTTATTCAAACTATTGGAGGGAACTAACTCTTTTGCTTGTAGATTAGACAATTCAAAGGGATAGCAATGGAAAGAAAACTAGCAAACGTTTGTAGATGGCTTCAGAAAGATTTCTAGGCGTCATGTGTCATATATTTACAGCGCTAAAACTTAATATTACCTGTGGGATAGTTCGGATTACTTGGAGTTATCTTGAAGCAGTCGCAACACGAGTGGATTGCGACTCGCAATCTCAGTCTGGACATCGATTCACAGGGTTGAGGCCCATCCAATTTGGTCTCTGGAACCGGGGCAGGAATAGACAGATGTCAGGTCTAACCCGCCCACAACCCCGCACTACACGGCCGTTTCGTGTTTGGTTGCGCTTCTCATTTACAGCGGACAACACAACAGCAGACGACACGAACTCGGAAGGTGTCGTTGAGGCTTATTCAAAAACAAATCGCAGTCCAGGTGGAGGTTGTATTTCGCAATCTGTCCACACAACAAGTGCTTCAGAATGCCTACTGTTACGACGCGTGTTGTCCGTCACATGGTGGGTTAAGGGTAGAAATTTCGACTGACATCGAGCCGCGGCGTTGCGATCTTTTCTCGGCAAGTGCATTCAGGTACGAGACCGGTCGTGGAGTGTAGCGTTGCAAGAGAGTGATGGCTACCATTTATCGTTCTGGATATGTTACACATTATGTAGGTGCCCACCCTACCAATGCTTCATTGGTTCCATTAGCGGATGATGGGAGAGAGCAGGCGGGTTAAAAGAAGAAGTGACCTTTTAAGGGAAGAGGTATTACGTGAAACTTGGGTGCCCAGTCAGTTTGCTCATGTTCCGACGAGTATGTAGTAGCATTCTGGCCAAGTAAGACAGGATAGTGTATTGGGTGCCCGGGTAGTCTGAAGACTAGGGGAGTATCAAGTCTGGCTACTCAACTCGCCGGTATACTAGCTGTCGCATTAGCCAAAGACTGCTCTTTGAGCCAGGCAAAACTAAGAAGGGAAAGGCTAATTGAAGAGCCATAAATGCTTTTTAATTGTTTTTGTTGGAACGATCTATAACTTTCGGTCATATACTATACGGACCTTGCTCGTACACGTGGAGTATATACTGGAACAGCCCACAGCTCCTATTACGTTCACTGCTGTCAGGTGTTTGTCAAGCATTATACGACAGTCGTGGTCCGATATGCTGACATAAACGTAAGCTGACAATTTATTTCAAATTCTGGAGCATCGATTCTGAAAACGTTTGTCTATGTGTTTATCCTTGACTTTTCTCCGTTTCCTTTCCCTTTTGACTTGGGAAGTGGCACCTTCATGATAAGGACTTGTGCTTATCGTGTAGAACTTTGAGAATGGCGTTAGATTTACCTTGTAGCGCACAACCATAGTGAGTCAAATTTAAGCACTTCCCATCGCTCAACGCAGCATAAGGTTGAAGGGACAACTTTTGCTGTTGAGTGAACCTTTGCTTCACCTGTTAAATGGCGGTGTGATTGTGCATTCTTGAGTTAATTAACAGCATCAAGCAGTATTTCAGTAAACAGGGAGAAAGCGCTTTCTATATTGCACGAGTAGATTTAGTAACGGAAAATTTACTGATTGACAATGTGACAAGTCGTGTTGTCCTGTCGTTTTGTAAAGTCAAGGGAGCATTAGTAGCGAAATACTAAATCAGGCTATAGCGAAATGGATTGTCGGACACTAACCAATATTTTGAAAAAGTGGAAATACAACTAGAAATGGACGAGGCATAAGCTTATTGATTAAACGTATAGTCTCGCTGGGCTAAAGAGTACCTAAGAAGCTATATATCGGGAGGAGCTAAGGAAGTAGGTTCTAGAAGTGTATGGCGCAGAGTTCGGTTCGCGTCCGGATGCGTATGTATATATTGGACACATTTGGTCAACATGCGACAAGCTGTCTAATTTTCTTGGGTACAAAAGGACACCATAATATTGAATATTTTACGCATGATATGGCAACCGTACGGAACTCTTTCTAGATCTTTATACAGCCAGCTCCTAGGAGGAAACCGTGTGACTATTCTTCTTGCCTCCGTCCGTGATCAGTCAGGCTACTGCAAGACTAGGTGGTTAAACTTGATGCAGCTGCTTCGGGAGCATCAGTGCGATCGCACCTTAGCTTGCTTCATGTTGTCCTCTTTACGAGTGACAAAGGAAGCTGGGCAGAACGTACCGTTCGATCATATAGTAATTGATGAGTCAATATCCCATACTGTCTGAGTGTTGCGGAGTTAGACAAACTTTTTCTTTCTGATTTTCAAAATAAATTGTCGCATGTTAGTGTTTTGGTTCGGCCAGAATTGAAATTATAGTGAGAAAAAAGAGAAGGATGCCGGTTTCTTTGTTGTACAGGCCAAGGAACTTTTCTACCGGACATAACCGACCTTTGAGGTTCGCCTGTGGACGCGATCGATTTCGGAACTGCGCCTTGTGGCGAAGTTTGTGGAGAAGATGCATCGTCCGGTTCGGCTAGAAGTGGCGGATCCGATAAGATATGCTCCTCTTCGATGTTATCATCAGATTCGAAATGAGTTGCTTTTAAACGATGCTAAGAGTTTCGTGCTTGTCATGGCTTACTATAATGAATACGCGATTTTTGTGATAAATGATGTTAAATGGTCCCACGCACTGGTGCTTTAATGAGCTGCGAAGGACTTCAACTTGAACAGAAACATGCAAACAACAATGTAGATCTTTGGGAATGGAGGCTGTACACTTGGATTCCCTGGGTTCAATCGGTCGAGCTAAACGGATCTTAGCAAGCAGTTGTTCTGTGTGTGTAGCGTCGTAAAAGCATACTGGAGGGCAAGCAAAGAAAACTCCAGGAAGTTCATGGACTGATTCAACGAAAAAGTTCTGTAAGCATGTCCTAATCGCTGATTCCCAGCAGTAATGCTTCCGTCCAGTTGTATACATCAACTGCACCGAGGTACGTCATGAGCTTCCTCTGGAGACGCTCAACCATACCATACGAAACGGAATGGCAGGCGGTAGTGCGAATGGGATGAGTGCCTAATCAATTTTAATGTTTCAAAGAGGATGTCAGATTCAAACTCTTGGCCTCTGTCGGTGGTCACAGTTAGACAGTAAACATCAGCAACGACCCAGCTATCTATAAAATCTCATGTGACTGTTTCAGGTGTGATGTTAGGGATTGGAACGGCTTCAGGTCAATGGGTGCAGCGATCTATTGTTTTTGAGATGTAGACCGTCTCCTAGGCAGTGCTAACAGCCCAACCATGTCGAGATGGACATTTGCAAATTGAGCGGAAACTGAAGAAAACGGCCAGCTGTAGCATCATTGTGTCGTTGAGTCATGGCATTCTAAGAGGTTAGGCAACTATGTTCCCAGAGTCTAATGTGGCATAGTATG